AACTTCAGCATAGGTGGCAGCGCAGGTCAGAAAGGCAGGACCCTGAGGATGAGGAAGGTACAAGAGATAAGATAAAAGGTTTAAAAGGCATGAGAAAAGGTAAGACTTTAACTAATCATGACATAGTAACAGCACCCATTGTTTGGGCATTTTCCAGGGTGGGCTGTGCCACACATTTAACCTTTGACATTATCAGTAGGTACAATATTATCATAGCTGTGAGCCTCAACTGGAGGCCACACCACTAAGCTAATTTCTGTCCCCTTCTTAATGAGTGCCATGGGGGCTATAGAGGTGAGGGAGGCTCCCATTCAGATAAAGAGTGGTTGAGTGTGATGCCAGAGGTAAGGTCTCCCCCAATGCAATGACACCATGACACCTGGGAGGGGGTGCCACTTTAGTTTCCAATCTATCAAAGTGTCACTGGGTGGGACGTCCTGTGGCAAATGCAGAACCAGTCCCTCAATTGCCGAATGGAATGCATTCCCCATTCTTGTCCTTGCCATGTTTAGAGCTGTGGTTATTGGTGTGTGTCCTGCAAGCCAGTCTTCCACAGACTTGTGCACTGTGAGGCAGCATTTTTGAGTCTTATGGCTTCAGTCATTTGGGAAACCATGCCATTCTGGTCCTCTCTGGTGCCAATGTTTTCAGTGTAGTTTTCACCCTTCCATTCATATGTTCAGTAAGTCCGGTGGTGGTGTGGTTACAAGACAGATGAAAAGTCCATACTAAGTTTTGGGCCTCTGACAACTCTTATACAATATGTCCAATGAAATGACTCCTGTGATCCCTGTCTATCAGCCAGGACCCCAGACATGTCTACCTGCCATTGAGTGACAGGTGGGTGGAACATCCAATATTCCCTGGAAGGTGTCTTGGGGACAAGGTCTCAAATGACTCTGTGGAAAATCCTTGTCTTCAGCCTGAATATCTGAATGTTTTATGGGCAGAGCAGTCTCTCCTCTGTGTCCTATATTCTTTGTTGGCCCCAATGTCTGGAATTTTGATGAGCCCAGTCAGCCACATCAGAGTGTGTTAGCAAGTCTTATAGCAGAACAGCTGGGGCTGTAGATAAGGCATCATCCTCATGATTGCACAGCAAGGTGGTTGAAGACTGAGCTCACATTTGCCATAAGACACCTGGGGTCATGGCTTGAAGCAGATTCTTCATGTCTCTCCACAATTCCACACCCCAAAGAGGGTTTGAGTATTGTCCAGTTTTGCTGTTGTGTTTGTTGTGCTGTGTGTTTGTGGGGTTTTGGGGGGGTTTTTTGGACCACTGTGGCATCCAATTCATTAGACCTTTCTAAACAGCCCAGATTTCTACAGCTGTATTAAGCAGCATCAACTTGTGAGTCACTGTGATCCTCACCACTTGAATTTCAGTGTACTGGCTTCTCAGTTTAGTTCTTCCTTCATACCAGATAATGTCAGAGTACAACAGGATGGCAGAGAAGTGGCAGGTGAGTGGATTTCCCTGCTTCTACCATCTCCACACCAGATATCCTAGTGACGGCTGTCTACACCTTCCACCACAGAATGGAGAGGTGGAGCAGTATCTGCTAGTGTTGGGGTGGGGTCCAAATTCATGTATGTAACCAGCCCCAGCAGTGCGTATAGTTCTTCTGACAGTAGACTAATTTTGTAAGAGTTTTGATGTTGTAATTAGCATGTCATTTCTGCAATATGATAACATGAGTGCAGACACTCATCAGATTCAAAAGCATGTCTTTAATCTACCCACTCACTGGCATGGAGGTGCACACTTCCACCAGCAAGTTGATGTCAAAACTTCAATCTGCTGCAGTGTCAGATAGTCGGCCAGGATCTGTTTTCAATAGGGCTGTGCCAGGTTTTCCTGCTTTTCTGTAGTGGTGTCCAGAATCCTAATGGGATGCAGTTCATATTCTGCTTCCACCATGGACCCAAATCAAATCCCTCTAGATAGACACTAGCATCCATTTTACATCTTACACCTGGCATCAACTTTTCTATGACAGGTACATGTTTGGCAAACAATTTAGCTTTATCAAGTCCCTCTTGCTGGGGAGCATTCCTATCCTAGCTACCGACCCTCTTCACTATAGCATCGAGGGGTCTTGACATTTGTGCTAGTTACATTTTTCCACATATGGATATCCAGATTTCCCAGACCATTTCTTGAAGAGGCTGTCCTCTCCCCTTTTAAAGTTGTTGTGATATTACTCAAGATCAGTTGGCTGTAAACATGTGGGTTGGCTTCTATGTTCTCTATTCAGTTCTGGCTTCTAGGTCCTCTATTCAGTTCCATTGATCCATGTGTCTGCTTTTAAGCCAGTACTATGCTGTTCTGGTAGCCATAACTTTGTAGGACAATTTGAAGAGCTGCTGGGGGACATAACAGCATCAGAACAATTAAATTCTAGGGGGAAATTTAATCAAATAGGTGAAAATATGTATACTGAAAACTCTAAATCATTGATGAAAGAAGAATAAAAATGATGGAAAAAGAAAAACAAACCTGTGTTCACAGATTTGAAGAATTAATGTAATTATGAGTTTTATACTATGCCAAGCATTAAATGTGTTCACAGATTTGAAGAACCTGTGTTCACAGATTTGAAGAATTAATGTAATTATGAGTTTTATACTATGCCAAGCATTAAACACAATCTTTATCAAAATCCCACTGCAATTTTTTACACATAAATGAAAAGGAATTCTAAAATATGTTTAAAACCGCAGAAGGCCTCAAATAGCCAAAGCAGTTCTGAACTCAACAACAAAGCTGAACTCCATCCATGATTTTTACATTACAAAAAAGAATAAAAGGTTTTCTACTGAACATTTTTGAGATTATGTTATAAGACTGTAAGTCATGTTCAGTGTTACTGGAAAATATTGGTTTTACCTTTTTTTCTTGTTTAGACAACTGTAATCATAATTTCCTGCAAACTGCAAGTCCTGACCCTCCTGCTGGCAACCGTCATCCCAATGTCAATGCGGGTTTCTTAGTCCTTTTGCACACAGCTCAAGCATGATCCCTTGCACACCTCTCAGGAGGCAGCCTGGAGCCATGACTGTGATCTGCACCCACATTCATTCTCACAGCCTGTGCTTTGTGGGTCCCCTTCAGCTCCACACCTGCAGGTCAGGAGGTGACCAGGTCTCCCTGCAGATGCAGCAGCTTCCTCTCCACCTGCCCCTCTCCCTGCTGCTCTCTCCACTGGCTGCTTCCTAGGGGGTTCCCTTTCTGTCTTTATTTCCACCAAGGCAGAGTTTTCACTGTTGCTGGTGTATGAGTTCAGCAGGGATGGAGAATTCCAGATTCTCACACCACCAGGACGTGCTGGGAGGGAAAGGGCTGCTGCCTGATGGTTGGCACTTATGGTGTCCTGTGGACACAGCAAAAACAATTCCGATTCACAGGGACTGTGGTCATCACCTTTCTACCTTCTAGAATGTGATATATAAAGATATTTCATAACCCATCAACAGAAGGATTAAATAATCAATTAAAAAGGGGCAAGGAATGGAATACACCTTAAAAGTGAATAAGAGAAATATCTGAAGAGCAAATGAAAAGATCGTCAATGTCATCAGTTATCAGGAAAATACAAATAAAAACACAAGGTAGCACTTCAGATCCACTGAGGTGGCCCCATTTTTTAAAGGAAATGAACAAGTATCCTCATGGATATGTAGACATTGGAAATATTACAGGGAGCTGGTGTTCAGTCAAAATGGTAGAACTACTGCGGCCACAATTCTGGCAGTTATGGATACAGTTTAATGCAGAATTATGCCATGACCCAGTAATTCCACTCCTATTTATATGCCAAGATAACTGAAAAGAGGTGCCCAGCAGAAATTTCCATGAATGTTCACAGCAGCACTATTCACAGTAGTTAAAATATGAATAATTCCAAACTTTCACTTACTGATGTGTTGATAAACAAATGTGGTAAATTGATAGAATTGGAAAGTATTCACCTATAAAAATGAATGAGGTAGTGACACATGCGGCAACAAGAATGAACTTTGAAAACATTACACCATGTAAAAGAAGCAGACACAAAAGACCACGTATTATATAATTCCATTTTCATGAAATATGCAGAATAGGTGAATCCATAGAGACAGAAAACATATTAGTGGTTTCTAGGGGCATTAAGAGAGAGGAATTAAAAGTGACTGTAGGATGTGGGGTTTACTTTTGAGGCAATGAAAATGTTCTGTAACTAGACACTGGCGATAGCTAACAAACCGTGTGAAAATATTGTGTCACTGAACTGTACAGTTTAAAATGGTTAAAATGGTGAATGCAATGTTACATAAGTTGTGCCATCACATGCCATAAAAAAATATTAAATTCAACTCCTCTTTTACATTAATTGTTTTAAGGTAACAGAAACTGCATTTTTAAAGAAACCACAAAGCAAATGAAGAAAAAAATAAGAGTTCCTGAGAAAGGCTTCTATTGACCAAGGACTGAAAGGAAACCCTGTTTATCTTCTGCACCTGCTCTTCACTGGAATTTCTGTACTGAGTGTGCACTGAGCTCCTCCTACCGCCAAGTCCACTCCTGTCTTCCAGCAGAGGTTTGTTTGTATCTCGGCTTGAACTGAATTCCCCTCGCTGTATTTCTTGCACAGTAGTACAGGGTGCTGCCCTGGGATCTCAGGCCACTCCGAGTTAAATAAGCTTGGCTCTTGGAGGTTCCTCTCGTGATGCTCACTTGGGATTTAAGAGTTGTCCTTCTACACACCTCATATCACACTGACCCACTCCAGTCCACAATCTGAAGGCTGGTGGATCCAGTGCCCATCATAGGTGGTTAAAGAGAATCCAGAAATAGTGCAAGTGAGGAACAGGTTCTGTGAGGGCTTCACCAGGCACAGTCCTGTTTCCTGCAGCTGCGACTTGGACAGGAAACCTAAGGATAAGGAGCATCACCATCAGTCAAACACACTGGAAACCCCATTCCGAAGTACCATTCCAGAAGTCCCAAGGACACTCACAGCAGGGAGTGGCCACCAGGCAGAGGAGCAGCCCCACGACATCCATGCTCTGATGAAGGGCTCCTGGTGGAAGGAGACTGGGGTTGCTTCTCTCAGGGCTGGGCATTCAGCCTGACACTGGGGTCTGCTTTGCATGAGGGAGGTCTCTGAGGTTATAAGTGGGGGAGCAGAGAGGAGCGTGTCAACCTCCCCTTCACTTGTGCAGAATGTGTTATCTTTTGCTGCTGAAAGGAAATTTGGAGACAGAACTTCAAAGACTCTTCTTTGCCTCACTGCATGGTCATCGTCCAGTCTCCAGAAAAATATTAAGAGAAGTGGAGATGGAGAATGTAGTGTTTGACATCACAGAACATGTAGAAATGTTTCAAGTGATTTCTGGCTCAAGGAGAAGTCCATGACCTTTTGACCTTCACGTGCTCCATTCCCATGTCTGGTCTTTGAAACTGACTGTCAGCCAGTGGCCTCAGTCTCTCTGCACACAAACCCCTTATGTGTGACTTCAATGAAACAGTTTTGCTTCTGGAGAATCTTGGAGTTGGTTCCCTTCAGAACAGGCAGACTTTCCTCAGATAGACAGATATGAGTATGTGCCTTTGTGGGGTGTGTGTGTGTATTTTTTTTGAGAGACAGGGAGAGACAGGGAGAGACAGAGAGACAGAGAGACCTCTACTGCATCCTGCTTCTCAGAGACACTTACCGAGGTAAACAAATACACACGAATATCCCTCCACTTTTGGAACAACCACATGGGATTAGAAATATTACTGTGGAAATTTCTAGAAAGCTCCATCTTCCTCAGTCTCATTCACAAGTCATCTGTTCACACTCCTGCCCCAACACTTCCAACATCAGCCTTGACTGTCACATCAGACTCAGTCTTGAGTTTCATGATCTCATCACTTGCTTCCGGTCAGAGGTGACTCCTGGGTGGCGTTTGCTCAAGTGCATCTCCTCCTGCATCTGCAGACCAGTGAGATGGACACGCTCTGTGCCCAGCCTCCCCTTACCCAGTGTACTCTGGTGATTCATGTCCAGGATGACGACTATATACCATCCCATTCACCTGGGACTCAATGGATCACAGCAGCTCTGAATGTCAGCTGGGCATATGGTGCCAGTGTCAGGGTTCTGGTCCATTTCTACTGTTTGGTGATGACACTGCATGACCCACAGCTTCTGTCTTTGGGATTCTAGTCCCACCCTTTTTGAAAAACTTTCTTTCTCAATTTGAAATTGTTTGTGTTTGCAGTTGATTATTTCTTTTAGCCCTTTTTATTTAAAATGAACTGGAAGAAGTTGTAAGTCGTGAAATTGTATTAAAATATATGTCCAAATTGCTCCCTTATGATAGTACAAGTCATACAGCAGACAATCCTAGCTAATCTCAATAGAAACAATGACTTTGAAATGGAGATGTACTAATAAAAAATAGGAAATATACATTACATCTCTGTAAATCATCAGATTCCAAATAAGAAAATGGTAAAGTGATTGGAGTAAATGACCTGTTTTCTCAGAGGGTGTGGTTTAAGAAAAATTTAGACTTGAGTGTAGAATGGTGGAGTATTTGTAAAGGCAAAATTTGCTCATTGAAAAGGAAAATGCAGAAACCTACACGCAAAAAAGAAAACAAACAAACAATGACAAAAAAACGTTCTCACTCACAGATTTGCTCTGCACCTGCCCCAGGACCTGGGCCCTGTGGGCAGAAGGTCAGTTGTGCCACTCCAGAGCAGTCCTGTGTCATCTTCTAGGGTTCTTGCTGCTTTCCTCAGACCAATGTTGTAGAGATTTTCCTCTATGTTTTACTCTAATAGTGCCATAGTGTCAAGACTCAAATGTAATTTTCTTTCCACTTTGAGTTGATTTTTGTGTAAGGGTGCAATTTCATTCTTTTGCATGTGGATATCCAATTTTCCCAACAAAATTTTTCAAGAGATTTTGCTCTTCTCCTTGTGTGTTCTTGTCACCTTTGTTAAAAATCAGTTGAACATAAATGTTTGGTTTTAATTCTGGGCTCTCTGGACTATATGTCTGTACGTCTGTGTGTATGTAATCACCATACTGTTTTAATTATTTTAGCTTTACAATAGATTCTGAACCAGGATTATCTCAGAGTTATCTCTGGGATGCACAGATGGTTCAAAAGAAGAAAATAAATAAATATGATAAATGCCATTACAGAATGAAGGCGGAAAACCTATAATCATCTCAACAGAGGCAGAAAAAGGATTTGACATCCTTCAACATCTTTTTAATAACAAAAATTTCAACAAATTAGTGATAGAAATATTATCCTTCACTATATTAAAGGGGATATATGACAATCTCACAGCTAATGGCATGCTTAACAGTAAAAGTGTACATTTGGGGCCGGCCTGGTGGCGCACTGCTTTTAAAAAAAAAAAAAAAAAAAAAAAAAAAAAAAAAAAAAAAAAAAAAAAAAAAAAAAGAAAGTGTACATTTGTTAAACATGATCAGAATAAGACAATGTCACCTTCTCTCACCACTTCCTTTCAGCATAGAACTGGAAGTCTAGCCAGAGCATTGAGGTAATAAAAATAAATAAATGGCATCCACTTATGAAAGGATAATAAAAATTGTATGTTTTCCAATAAGATATTCTCATATATAAAAACCCTAAAGACTCTGCCTGTTAACTGTGAGAACCAATAAACATACTTAGTAATACTGCATCATACAAAATCAGCACACAGAAAGCAGTAGTGTTTCTGTACACTAACATTGAACTATCTAAAAATACATCAGTAAAACAATTATATTTACAATAGCATCAGAAAAAAATAATTAAATTCCTGGGAACGAATTTAACCAAATTACTTAAAGATTTGAATATTGAAAACTCTAAAGCATTGATTAAAAACATGTATGTAAAGGGCAGACACAAAAGTGCAGATCCAGGAAGCCACAGAGCAGCAAACAGGATGAATAAAAGCAAAAGAAATGATGCACAAACACCCACATGCACACACACACATGTACACGTACACACACACGCACACGCACATATGTACACGTACACACACATGCACACATATATACATGCACACACACATGTACACACGCACATATGTACACACACACACACACACACACACACACACACACACATAGACACCCATGACCAAGATGTTAAGTGTTATAAAATTACATGTTCAGAACATACATAGAGTGGTTAGGCTAAGAAATGCTTACACATAAAATAATAAAGGTAAGAATTACAGAGAATTTCTTGTATGAATTGAAGCCAACAAAAATTGAGAGATTTGAAATGTTTAAAGTTTTGGAAGCTGCAGCCACCACCACCTGGGACTCTCAATTCAGCTGAATGATCCTCCATGAGTGACGGAGACCACCAACTCCTCGTATCCACCTTCCATCCAGAAAGGAATAAATCTTTGATATAAATTGAATAGCACAGCAACTATAGCCAATAATAATAGATTATATATTTCAAAATAGCAAAGAGCGAATTTCAAATGTCTCACCACAAAAATAAAATGAGGTGATGAATACGTTGTTCACTTTGACCTAATTATTCCACATTATATACATTTATCAAAGCACCACATAGTTCCCCATAAATGAATACAATTATGATGTGTCATTTAAGAAAACATTAATAAAAAATGTGAAGGAGAAATTGCCTCTCTCAGACCACACAGTGCTGAAGGATCAAGGCGCCCCTCAGAATCATGAACGAGGTGAGCACAGCTGCCAGCACAGCTTCTACTTGATACCTTCAATGTGACAAGTGGATGTAAACAAGCAACAATCATGAGGACACACACACAGTCCTTGATCTTCAGGTGCGACATAAGGGGTCTGTCTTCAGGTCTCGCATGTAAGAAGCTTGGACGTCATCACTCCCATCCAGACAACAAGAAAATGACTGAACAGACTGAAAATCAGTATCTCTTCTTATACATCTAAAAGAAGTGACGTTACAGGGTACACTACTGTCCCCAAATTGAAGATGCAGTCAGGAAGACACAGAGGGTCACAGCTTGTCTGATCAGAACCTCATGAGCAGAAGCCTCTGTGTGGTCCAGGATGGGGAAGATGAACCAGAGCTGTAGGGGAAGGATGGCTGGAGAGTCAGGGTGGGGAAATCTCAGAGTTGGGTCCATCCCAGAGTGACGGACTTAGAGATCCCAACCTTTTAAACTCTACCTCAGCGGTACAATGAGGTTCTCAATGAAAATATCATAAAAGAATCCTCCTGCTCCCTGCAGAGAAAGGGGAAGGAGCCATTGTGAGATTCACCAGAGCAGGACGCTCTTCAGAAGGTCAACCTCAGGGGAAACTAGTTTAGCTGATCCCAAGAGGTTATTACTTCTTCAGAGCATAACTGACCACAGAGAAGAGAAACACCCAACTCTATCCCCCTCCCTGAGAGCCTTCCATTCGCAACTAAGGGCATCATGAAGGAAGAAGCAGCTGTGAAAGTCACACACAGGACACAGCTCACTAAAGGACAGACTCGTCATAGGACTGTGCAGAGCTTCCCCTTCCACCCACATTACCTTATACACCTTACACACAACGTTCTGATCTGACAAGTTGTGACCCTCTGTGTCTTCCTGACTGCATCTTCAATTTTGGGGATAGGAGTTCACCCTGTGACTTCACTTCTTTTACAGATATAAGAAGAGATACTGATTTTCTGTGTACTAACAGGGAAAAACTACAACACCCCATGCAACTTAGACACTATTTAAGAAGTCTCTATGAAAACCTAGTCCTCAGAGGAGACACAAACAAGGACACCGGGGACCTTTTATCCAGTCCATAGCTTGCCTTGTCATCCTCTTTACAGTGACTTTTGCAGAGACAGAGTTTCTAATTAATGGCTCCAGCCTGGCAATGTTTGTTCCCTGCATTGTGCTGTTGTCTCACCTCCATTGTATGTGGTATTTTCTCTTTTTATGAAACATTCATCAGCCATAGGTGCCTTCTCAGCACCACATGAGGTCCCTACCTTCAATGATCAGCCTCATTACTGAGCCCCTCATCTGCACCTGCACAGGAGGTGACTTGGTAAGAATTGAGCAGGGCTCTTGACTCATGGAGCTGAGTGTCTAGGGACAACAGATCTAGTAAGAATTTAAACAATGGTAGACAGAGGATGGTATTAAGGCAAGTGTCCAGGATGTCTGTGGGACAGCAGAGAGTGGGCAGGGAACAGGGCTCTGTCCAGCTGGTTCTCAATATCCACAGGGAATCGCCCCATGGAACCTGAGATACAGAACTTAGGACACAATTCCCAGGGCTGCTTTGAGAGGCCACACCCAGAATGCCAACCCAGCAGGGCTCTGGTGGGTATTTCTCTCTGTGCTTATCACCCTGAAACCTCCACATAGAAGTGGAAGAGCTGTGTCTGGCCCTCAGGCAGCTGCTTCTCCATCCAGGACACTGGAGGATGGACAGAGAGTGGGACAAATACTGAACATCAGTGTCCACAGTGTGGATGAGGATCCAGAGGATAAAGTTCCCGAGGTAGGACAAGGACGCCGTGGACAGAGTTCCTGAAGGATGATCATAACCATGTGGCAGCACATATGCTTGACTGAGGGAAAGTCTACTTAGGGACACTGTGCGCCTGGACTGAGCGAACCATTAGGGAAAAATATTGTTGATCAGATGAACATAAGAATCCTTACAATGATTTTTGTGTCTGGAAAGAGAACAGGTCATGTTCAAACCTGAGAAAATAAAGGTCCCAGTGAATGGAAACATCTTATCTGCAAATGAGGAATGTTATTTCACTCTGTGTTGCCTGCAGTGAGAACATGGGAATTAGAGTCACAAAGAACAAAGCAGGAAAGGACCCTGGGGGACATCTGGGAGTCAGCAGAGCAGAGGAAACCTCAGATCCCAAGAGGAGACCCCATCCCCTCTCTGCACCTGCTCCATGGGGCACAGGAGCTGGGTGGGCCTTGAGCACCCCCTGCAGCCCAGACCCCTCCTGTATCCTGCAGGGAGGTTTGTGTCTGGGCTCACGATGACTTCCTGTCACTGTGTCTCTCACACAGTAATACACGCCTGTGTCCTCGTCGGTCACAGAGCTCAGCTGCAGGGAGAACTGGTTCTTGGACGTGTCTCTGGTGATGGAGGTGCGGCTCTTGAGGGACGGGTTATAAGCTGTGCTTCCACTATAACTAATGTATCCCATCCACTCAAGGCTCTTCCCCGTGGGCTGGTGGATCCAGCTCCAACCATAACCACTGGTGATGGAGAAACCAGAGACGGTGCAGGTGAGGGAGAGGGTCTGTGAGGGCTTCACCAGTCCTGGGCCCGACTCCTGCAGCTGCACGTCGGACAGGACACCTGGAGACAGGGAGAATCAGAACCTGTCAGTCACGTGCAGTCACAACCATACCATAGACCCATGTGTGACATCTGAGACACTCACCTTGGGAAGCTGTCACCAGGCAAAGGAGAAATCCCCACAATCTCATCTTCTATTAGATCTCAACTCTGCCTTCCCCAGAGACCTGAGTCCTGTCTGAGGACAGACCTGTGAGCTTCCACCGCCCATGTGTCTACATTTACCCTAGAGTTTGAAGGGAAATTTGCATGTGGGAGAGCTTTGTCCTTATAAGCGGTGAGGAACTGAGGTGGGACTTCTGCATTTTTGACGTGCCTATATTCTATTATTTTCTTAAAATTACTTGACATATAATTATCAGATGTGAAAGAACACTCCAAAATGTGGCCCCAGATTTCTTAGCCCAGATCTACCTTCCTTCTACCTTCTCTTGTGCCTTGTCTTGGTCCCAGCCCAACTTTTCCCGCAAACTCAGGCTCTGGGTTGTGCTTTTACAGCTCTGATCACAGCACAACCCCTGCTTTCTTTCCCTGTACCCTCTCCTGTCATGTGGTTCTCATCACACCTGAGAGCTTGTTACATTGTTACATTGTTGCTGTTCCATGAGTTCCAGGCTTGCTTTGAGCTCCGTCCACCATATGATACAAGACACAGCACATCAGAACTCAGAGGGACTCTACAAAATACAGCACCCTGTACATGACTCAGGAAACTGATTCTCACTGTTTGGGAAAGACAAATGGACTCTTTAAATGCCCCCTTCCCAAGGTAAATCCTGTGCTTCTAATGTTTTCAAATTTTAAACAGAAATTCAATTCACGCTTAAATTATTGATGTAATTCTTTCATTTAGTCCTACAATCTCATCAGAGATCCCCGCTTGTGAACATATCAGTCATAACGGTTAACATACAAGCAGTAATAAAATCCCTAATATGAAAGTTTTAAAAGCACGCTTCCCTTTGATGTCTCTGTGTTGGGGCCCATGACAGCCACTCCATGACTGTGGTCACTGCCCTCTGAGATGCCACCCACCACAGAGAAAGGGGCCAGGGGCTGTGCTGGATGCTGTGCTGTGTCTACTCCTGTGAGCCCCCTCTCAGTCCCAAGAGCAGGTCCATGTCATGGAGGGACAGCCCTTGAAGTCTCCTGAATGGATTATAAGACAGGAGCTGCTGATGGACAATTTTGGGCTGATTCTTCAGTTCTTGTTAACGCATGAATTTTGCTGGAATTTTACCAAAATGTTAAAAGACCTGAAAACGGACAATGGAAAACAAACACACTGAAATGACAAAGCAAGTATCAGAACCAGGATAAGATATGACACAGATTTTGGAATTATCAGAGAGGAGATTTAAAATAACTAGGTGTATGTGCAACTCTGTTTTGGTTTGTTTCTAAACCTTCAGCTGACTCTACAGAGTCCCAAGGTGCCCATGTCGATTTGCCCAGGATAATTTATCAGGATGTCCTGCCTAGTGTAGCAAACACTCCAGCATCTCAGTGGAATAAAGTTTCAAAAACAAATATCTACTGTTTGCTCATTTCTATTCTAATGTGTTCAGGAGGGAAGTTGCAGTGAGAAGAGGTGTCTGATTCATAAAGTCACTCAGGAACCCAGACTTCCACTGGTTTGGGACCCAGAATCTACAGCTTGTGGACTGATACTTAACAGAAAACAGAAGGAGAGGGAATGTGAATTTCAGGTGGGCTATTTTTTAATTGTTGTAAAGACACTTACTACGACCTCTTCTCTATTAACACATTGTAAGTGCACAATTCGGTATTGTTAACTGTGGGTGCAGTGTTGTAGAGCAGATCCCCAGAACTTGTTCATCCTGTGTAATGGAAGCTTTGTACCTGTTGAACTTTAATTTAATTATCCAGGCTGTGAGTGTGTGTGTTACATCTGTGTACATTTCCTTTGGCTTAATTAATCTTACGGTCCTGACTTGCATCAAAAGATCAAAAATATATGTTATCTGTCATCTCTGCATGGAAGAGGACAACAGGTGTTTGGGGGAACTGGAGGGTAACACACTAACCATATGTCACCACACACACACACACACACACACATTCACCATTGGTCTTTTTGGAAAAATCTAACTTGAACGATGCCTCTGATTGATGCTGAGAAATTCCTTGTAACATACACAAATGTGAAACTTCACAGCCCTGTTCTGAATATGTCACCATGTAGAGGAAGAATCTCCCAAGGTACAGATTCAGCAGGACAGCCCTGTGTGCTGTGGAGAGTGAATCGCCGCTGTTCCTTGTATAATAATTATCCTACTAGTCTCATATGCATGTTGCATATTAACTTGCAATAGGAGTGTGGTCTGTGGATGGATCTATTTTTTTAATTATTTTAAGAAAAAGCAATATTTTAGTTTTTTTTTTTTTTTTTTTTTTTCCTTTTTGTCTTTTTTTACTGACTGGTAATGGGATCGCAACCCTCGGTGTCGCGCCCGTACCAGGGACCGGCAACGGGATCGCAACCCTCGGGGTTGCGCCCGCACCATGCTCAACCAGTGAGCGGGAACCGGTCTCCACATGGGATTCGAACCCTCAGCGGGAGCGCCGCCACACTCCCAAGCGGGGCACTCTCCAGTGCGCCACCGGGCCAGCCCAAGAAAAAGCAATATTAAAATTCATTAAGCAGGACTCTCACACCACTGAATGGATAAAATATATTCAAGAAAAAAAATGTCTTATAGAATGTCAGAGAAGTGAGAAAAAATACTAGCAGAGACAATTTTATTATGCTTTAAATGAAGCAATATTAAATACAATGAGTATACAAATAATAACCATAATGAGCAATATTGATATGTTTAATGAATCACTATGCAAATCTAAGCAACAACAAAAAATAAATAAATTACTAAACAGCAATGGCATTGGAGACCAACAGAGAGGTGAGTTGAGATTTTATCTCATGGATTTAGAAATTGTAGGGATCAAAATTCTGAGCATCACTAGACTTGGATAGGACACAGATTTGTAAGTTATTCTCTTGTGAAACACAAATATAGAAGAAAGAGAGAGAGAGAGACAAGGGGTGGGAAAGAGAAAACTATCACAGTGAAAAAAGGTAAAATGTTCAATAATCAGACCTACAAGGCAAGGAAGAAAGGGGGTCATGGATTGAGAATAACCTTAGAGATCAAAAAGTAACACACCCCGCCACGTCAAAATGTGCACGTAACTGTGTTAAATTTATCTGCCATGAAAAGGAATGAAGTTCGACCATGCACAACGACATGGATGACCTTGGAGAAAATAATGTTGAGTGAAATAAGCCAAGCAAAGGGGAAAATATACCCCATGTTCTCCATCATAAGTGAGAGTTAAGAGAGAACAAAGGAAAGAAAGAAAAGCCACAAGGGTGCATTGGACTTGCAGAGGGACAGAGCAGACCTGAGGTTACGAAATGGGGTGGAGACAAGACGGAGGGTGAAGGACGTCAGGGATTAATTGGCTGGAAGACATGAGGAATAATCACAATTCATAGTAATGGGCATGCTAATAGTATTGATCCGGCAACCACATCTTGCCACAAGTGCCAACAGTAAGCTTTGTGCCCTATGAATATTCATAACCTATAAAATAAAATAGAAAATAAAAATATATTGAATAAAAGAAGTAAAAGGCAAAATGAGAGCTTCTATTGCAAAAAGTGCATGCTTGTAGCAATATTTGCAGTGCAAGTTTGTAAGTATTTGAATGTAAGATGGTTGGGAATGCATGACCTGCAATCAGCAATGGAAATACCTGTCGGAACAAAGCTGACATAAAAACACAGATGTTATGATGAGGCTTTATTGAAGTTCAATTATGTCTGAAGATAATGCCCTAAACTGCAGGGCTCTGGTACTTGGTAACAAATCAATCACCACGTTATACTTTGCTCAGGATCTTCCCATCAGACTTTCTAACATGGGATAATCCAATTCACCTTCAAATGTCACAGTGTCATGAAGAAACTAGTAAAAGGTTAAAAATACTCAGTAACACTTTTAATTTCCTCTTTAATTACAAAAGTGAGATTGACAATGGTTGATTTTTTATTAGTGTATTACATCGTCAGCCCTTGGAAGTTCACATTCAATATTCCTGATAAATTTAGAGCATGACTGTGTTTAAAGGGAAGGCACAAATGATTGTTTAAAAATGTTTCTGCTAATGCTGATACTCAATTGAAAGGACAAGCACACCCTGCTGTCCTGTGTCCAGGATCTTAAGTAGAAAACCCAACGTATTTGCTTATGTAATTTATTAATTTTTCCCTAAAAGTGTTTTCAGTGCAAAGTTCCTATCTCCATTGTGCTTCAGGTCTGTTTCCAAATTTTCAGGATCAGAGATATTTGTATGTGTCCTCTGACCACTTAGGACACCAGGGATGATGGTTTTTACTGGAATACTCAGGCTGTTCCCTGTCTGTTGTCTGATTCCTGCCACCCATGGGACTGTCCACCTCAGGGCTCTGCAGCTGGTGAGGCCATCTGGATGTCATCTGTAACCAGGTGTGAGTTGTGAGAGGTGTCCTGGGATCAGCAGATACTCTGTCCTTACAGAAAATCGGTGTTCTCAAGAAAGCTGCTTGATGGCTACAGACAATTTCAAGTTAATATTAGATAAATGTTTCTTTTTATCACAAATAAGTGAGAACATAAGGGATTTCTCTTTCTGTGCCTGACTCATTTCATGAAGCTAAAAATAAAGAAATAAATACACAATTAACCTGGGGGGAGGAGAAGACACAACACAACAATTACAATTCCTTGAAGTTGTTATGGTTGTTGGGAGGGGGCGAGGCAGGGGGAAAACAGGTTTTGGTAATGGGCCATAATAATCAACTACATTGTATATTGATAAAATAAAACAAAATTTAAAAAAATGTTTCTGTGAATCACCTCTGCTTGATATAGACAAATTGGTTACTATGTTAAATCAGCAGTGGTGGTGAATCTTTTCAAAGAGAGCTAATATTGTTTTTGGTCATATGTAACTAGTCAACAAGATAATCCTGAGAATTTTCTGAACGTGGAACATGGCCATGAAACAAACCTTAAGGGCTCAGGACATCTCCAGGGGTGATTTTTTTTTTCAACTTCCTTCCATT